CCGGCTCCGCTGTTACCGGGCAGAACTCGTCTGGCAGCGATGAGCAATGACGGGATTACTGACTGTGGTCACGTACTTCACTGCCTGATGTTTTTAAATGAGCTGAGGGGTCAAAGGTCACCGGCGCTCAGTGCTAGTGTCTGGCTTCTTATGTCCTGGATCCCTGAATCTTTTGATTTGGAAATGAGAAACGTTCCTAAACTGTTGAACTATTTGGTCACACAGTGGTTTTCCTGTTTATTACAATGTTACATTATATTATTATTATTATTATTATTATATTATTGTCATTATAACGTTACAAATGGACGAGTTTTCATGTGTTCGTTTATTACATTTTTAAAAAGTATTTCTCAGCTATCCCAGGCTTTTGTTGCCCCTGTCCCAGCTTTTTTTTGTTTTGTTTTTTGGTACAAATTCAAAATAATGAGAATTTATCAGTCTAGACATTCAAAATCAAGTCAGGGTTTATTTGGCCCACACAAAGTCATACAGAGTACAGCTGGATGTGAAAAGCTTTTATTTATGAATTGTCAGACACAATAATTATAAAAGATTGAACATGGACATTTATCTAAAACATAAAGTTAGAAATATAAAGTGGAAAAATGATTTAATATTATAATATTATATAATTATAATATTGTATTATATTATAATATTTATTATTATTTAATATGATATTATTATTCATTCATAGTACAAATTAAAAAACTAAAAAAAAACTAAAAACATATTAGTTAGAATTAAAACTAGGGACTATATAAATGATAAAGTGTCCAAACTTTTTTCTTAGTATTGTGTTTAATGGCATTGTATTCCGTTCCAACTTCATAGGAATTGTTCTGATTGTTTTCTGATGAGTGACTTTTACAGCATCTGATTTTCCCGTGACCCTGATTGATGGCGTTTCTGTCTGCAGGGCGTTGGTGCGACGGCCCCGAGGTCCAGACGGACCAATCAGAGCGCCTGCAGCAGGTCCACGCGGCTCAGATCAGAGCTTTACAAACAGAGCACCAGAAACAGCAGCAGGACCTCCTGCAGGTGAGAACCAGCCAGAGAGAGGCTGAAAGAGAGACCTGGGGGAGTAAAACAAGTGGGCGGGCGGTGGGTGTTTAACTCATTGGCTGCCAAAGACGTCTATAGACGTCTTTTATGTTTTTCAACGAGAGTGGCTGGGGGACGATCTGCTAAAGCTTGTCCGTAAATATCAGGCTTCTAGACAGAGTATGTAGTAACAAATTGACCCTCTAGGTGGCAGTGCCACTTTTGATGGGAGATGAGCATAGACTGTAGGCAAATAAGAAAAAGGTAACGGTTCGCTATGAGAGAACATGTCGCCGGTGAGATGCAAGCCGAGGAAGAACGGAATAAGGTAGAAACAAAAAAAATTTCCTGATGAAAGAAGAGAATCTACTCTTTCTTTTGGTGTGTTCGGTGTTTACATAGTCATAGCACAAACTATTCTGTGGCTCTTGAAAAATCAGTCAAAATGCTCAAAAAACTTTGGCAGTATGGGACTCTGTTCTGAAAATGGCTGGCAGTCAATGAGTTAACGGTTCATCTGAGAGGATTGACCGTCTGCAAACTAGGCTGGTCCCAATCCCATATCTGGATCAGATCGGCCGCTGATATTTGCTAAAAACTGCGTATCGGCCGGCAGGAGAAAATGCAGATCCAGACTCCAGATCCAGTTTTTTTTTTAAAGTCCTATCCAACATTAGCATTAGCATTAGCATCTCTAACCCACAGGTCTGTGTCCTAACCATTAAGTTGTTATCAGAGTAAATCCCTGTTCAACATGAGTCTGACAACTAAGTAAGTAGATAAATAACTTTTTTTTTAATTTACTGATCAAACTTTAAAAACACACAAAAAAGGTCCACATTGTATGTTACATTGTCCTGTTGTACATAGTTTCCCTATACGCCACCTTGACATCTCCAACAGAAAATATGGTCCAGAAAATAGCAATAATAATAATAAATGGAAATAGAAATGCAAAGGCTGTCATCAGATACTTATGTCTCTTTCATGTGTACACAGAAATCATCCCAGATGATTAGTTTCTCGTCATTCATAGATAAATAACATTAAACTTTAATACATGCTCTGATAGGCCGGGATCGGATCGGAAACTCTGCAAAAACCTGTTTGACATTTAAGAAGAAGACTAGAATAGCTCAGTCTCTGTAAAGGCCCCGTAAATCTCCAGATTTCCATTTCAAAAGCAGCACACGTCCAGATTTGATCGCCGAATAGCAGCTGGTGGAAAGTTTGTTGGGAGCAAAAACACCTCAAAGCAAAACAGCCGGATGATCCGAAAAATAGAGGACGAACATCTTTGGACATTAAAAAGGGAAACAACAGATTGTTACAAAAGCCAAAGCTGCAGTCTGAGAGGAAAGTTCTCTATTTTGAACATGAAAAACTATGAAGTCTTTAAGAAATGACGGAGCTCAGTCAGAATATTAGAGCCAGAGAAAAGAAAGTTTGGATCCACTGGAGGCTTCTCAGACCTAAAGTAAAAATAATTAGTTACTCTGCTTCATTCTGAGACAGGATGTTCCCACTTTTGGGGATTTTATGAAGGTGAAAACAGGCGGTCATAGAAACCTGCTTTATATGTGAGTCAAAGGACAGATCCTTGTCAAATATAATCTAATAACCATCATTATTGTGCCAAAAGTGAAAGTTAATGGTTCGGACACAGACCTGTGGGTCAGGAGATGCTAATGCTAATGTTAGTGTGGGATCACACTTTTTAAAAGAACTGGATCTAATCGAATAACCATCCTTATTGTGCCAGAAGTGAAAGAATCGTCATATAACGTGTTATGAGACAGTCGTCCCAGAAGGGTTCAGGTCCAAAGACAAGGACTTAGATATTAAATTACCTCCTTCTGTATCCAAACATTTGCTCTGAGGCTGGATCATGATTCTTCCCTCTCATTGGTCCGCGTCTTACATTAGATTGCATCACTTATTGCCGTGCAGATCTCAGACTGCCCCCCCCCTCCCAAAGTCACCTTTCAGAGGATCCGTGCCCAATGTGTCTATCTTTTAAAAACGAGAGTGGCTTTTTGGGAGTATTTAACTGCTTCATTAAGCGGTGACACGACTCCCAACGTCTCCGTGAGGCGTTCAGGGGCGTGCACGTTACCTGTGTGAGCGTGCACGTGGGTCCTGGGCAGACTGCAGACATCTGCTCGTTACAGGAGACCTTCAAACTCTCCCCCAGATACAAGAAAAAAAAAGGTGATTTCCACCATAAATGTTTCATCAGACTCCTTAACTCATTGACTGCCAGCCATTTTCAGAACAGAGAGTCCCATACTGCCAGAGTTTTTTGAGCATTTTGACTGATTTTTCAAGAGACACAGAATAGTTTGTGCTATGACTATGTAAACACCAAACACACCAAAAGAAAGAGTGGACTCTCTTCTTTCATCAGGAAAAAAAAATAGTTTCTACCTTATTCCGTTCTTCCTCGACTTGCGTCTCACCGGCGACATGTTCTCTCAT